CAGAGGTCTGCAGTCCATGGCACCCAGGAGCAAAGCTGGCAGGCCATTTAGCTGACTCCAACCCCTCTCCTTCTCCCGGGTCTGCAGTAGTTCTGGGATTCCTACCCCAGGTGGCTGGAAGGGATGGGCCTCCAGAGTCAAATCCACTACCCTTTGACCCTGGAGTCTACGGTTACCTTCCTTTCCCTCTTCCCTCCTGGACCTTAAGGCCAAGAAGCAGGAAGGAGCCTTGGGCAGAAAAGAGCCCTCCCTCTGCCCCCAGCCCTTCCTGAGCCCCAAACCTGCTGCTCCAACAGACGGTCGTTGGCACTGGCCAGACTACGCCATTTGCCTCTCATCCCAGTCACCAGGTCTACTGCGTAAGTCCACAGAGCCACTGCTAACTAAATGCCCCCAGTCAACTCAGCCCAATATTACCCAAAACGGTGCTGATACCAAGGTGCTAGTTACCAGGACTGATGCCCAAGACCAGGCTCCTCCTCCTCTGAAATCTGCCCATCCCAGCTCTGCCCTCAAAAGCAGAGTCAGTTAGCAAAACAGCCACAGAACAGAGGCCCAACACGTTAGTTTTCAATCAAGCTTTTAATGAAAAGATCATAAAATAACAGTTTCTCATCACTGTACATTAAGACTGCACGCTTCTGAGGGAGAGATCAGTCGTCGGAGAATTGCTTTTCTATAACATATGGGGGAGCTGCAGTGCAGCTCTGACCTGAATTTATTCAAACGCTCCAGGGACATGAACTTGAGGTGATGACTGACAGCGGCGGAGGCCAGTACAGGAGTGCGAGTTGGGGTGCTTTTCCCCACTTTCTGGGAAGGGTCTGGAGGACATGACCCTTTTCCAGCTCCAATTAAACAGAACAGCTGTAACCCCACCCCCTCCCCCTCGAGGTATTTGTGAATGGGTCTGTTCCCAACCTGGAGCCCCCTGGTGGGGGAGAGCAGTGATGGGTGGGGTACAGAGAGGCTCCCCTCAGCACCTGGCCCCACAGGGCCCTGCCAAGTGGAGGGGGGGGCCTGGGAGCCTCCCTGTCCCATGTGAGGTCTGTGGTGCAGCATCTGAGGTCAATAAATTACAGAATAAATAGCAGGTGAGGTAGGGGGCTCCTGGTAAAAAAGTGGGGTGACCAAAGCTGGGGTTCCGAGGAAGGGGGTCCTGGGCAGCCTCAACTCTCACAGCTGATGCCCATCCCCCCACTTTGGAATGTCAGACTGAGGCTCCAGCTGGGCCCCTCCCACCTCACTCCTATCAGATCCATGGGACTGGGGGCACCAGCCAAGGCCTTAGTCCCTTCAGGGAGACATGGTTGGCTAAGACCTCTGGCTCCACCTTCCCCTTTTGTCCTAGAGCATCAGGGACAGGATGGACACAGCCTCCTCTTTCCTGATCCCTAGCCCTGCCCTCCCAGCTGCCCAGGCCTCACCATGACTCCGGATGGTGGTCGCAGGCAGAGCAGGTGGGGCCTGCCAGCCCAGGTCGCACTCCTGCCAGCTGCCTTATGTTCAGTGAACACAGACTCGGGCGGGCAGGACAGCCTAGCCTGGGGGTGGACGACAGGGACACATACGCCACCTGAGGTCATGAAGTCGGAGGTCCGACCGTTCGGTTCCCAGGCTGAGGTGTATGGCTATGCTGTGGTCTCTGAGAGTCTTGGTTGCATAAAGGTCCGTCCTGTCTTGGTTCCTTTTTTGCAAACCTGGAGGAGCCCTTGCGGGGCTTGGTCTGGCGGGAGCGGGAAGTGGCAGAGCCCAGTCTGCCTCGCGCCCCAAGTCTGAGAAATAAATACATTCATCACTGCACAAACATATGGATACAAAAACAACACTGTTAAGAGTGTTTGCACCGACTGAAGGTAAGGGCCAGGCCCAGCCAGCCCCTTCCACTGCCTGTGGGGTCCCCGAATCAGGGACCAGCTGGAGTCGACCAACCTGTGCAAAGGTCCTGGCTTTTTGGCTTGAGGGGGACCCTCGCATCAGCCCACCCGAAGGCAGCGGGCAGAGAGGCAGGAGGGACTTCTCTCCCTCCCGGGGCCCAAGCCCAGACTTGGGTCCTGTGGCCAGAGCTGAGGGCCACCCCTCCTGTGCCAGCTGGCCAAGATGCCACAGTCCTGCCAGGAGGCCATGGGGGCTGGTCAGCACGGGCGAGCTCTTTGGTGCCATCTGGGCTTGGAGCAGCCCCAGGCTGAGGATGAGGGCTCAGGCGACTCCTGAACGCTTCTGCCCACTCCACAGGCCCCCTGGGGTGCCTCTCTGCCCATGAGCCATCAGGGGCGCTTCAGGGCCTCCAGCGGAAGGAGAGGCTTCACTGGGACTGGCCTTACAGCTGCTGAGGTCTGAAACTGTAAAAGTTTATGTAAACAATGAGATAAATATATTAGTATCTTTTTTCTGAGCCCACTGAGGTTCCATTCGCATTCATAATGTGCTTTGGTTTAAAAAATAGGTTTTGTGAATTTGGGTATGAGCTTTCTTTTTTTCTTTTTTTAATCCTCTCTTTCCTACATGACATCTGCTACTTTCTCTGTTTCCTGTTTCTCCGAAACATTCAGGAATTAAGTGACTAAAGCAGAGAAGTGTAAGCCGCCTTTGGCCTCCAACGGCCGAATTTCCTCGTGAGGCTCTAACATATCTTCACACACACACTCACAGGCACACACTCGACATGATAAAAGGAAAAAGACAAAATGAAGTGTTGTGTTCATCCCGCCCCACCCCCACAAACCCTTGAAATCTTAAATATGAAACTAGTGTTTTGCTTTCTCATTAAAATACAGAAAAGGCTCGGTACAATACTAAGGTGGGTACAATACTATGTCGCACAGACGTCGTAGAGTGAAGGGGGCTCTGCTCCCCGTCCCTGAAGTTCTGCAAATGAGTTGCCTGCTCTCACCAGTAGCCTCGCAGTGCGTGGCCCTGGCCGGGCGAGTACCCGGGCGTGCGTACAATCCTAGTACGTACAGACTTTGTGTCGTGTGGCTTAAGTGCTGACGGGCGGAGGCGGGGGGGCAGAGCGGGAGGGTATCCTCCACCCAGATCCTTGCCCGCCCATGCTGGAACCCGTGACCCAGTTCCCAATATCCCACCTGGAGGGGATGGGAGCCAGCTCGGGGCTTAGAGGGCTTAGCCCGGAGCCCGTGGGGCCGCGCACTGTACCCCTCACCCGCCGCTCGCCAAGAAGGTCCCTGAACTCGGGCCCCGTTTCAGCTGGAGGCTCTCTTGAAGGGTGGAGGTGGTGGAGGGGGTGGTGGAGGGGTGACTCTGGAGTTTTTTGGTCTGAACTTAAAATAGAAAAAGCAAGCAAGCAAAAAGGAAAATGAAAGAGATAATGCGGGCTGGTCGCCTGCATCTCTGGCAGCCGAGAACTGCGTGTCAAGCGGTGGCACCCCAGCCCACAGAGGGAAGAGGCTGAGAAAGCCAAGGGGTACTGTGAGGGGAAAGGGTGGGTCCCCGCCCCAAGATGAGCGAATGGGGGCAGCTTCTTGTCCTCACCTCAACAGAGCCTGAAGGTGTTCTTCGCCACTCTCGACTGTGCATCTCACTTTGGTCGCAGACCCCACCCTGCACATCCCTGCTCAGGCTCTTGCAGGGCCGGCTTGGCCTGCGAGTGGGGCCTCCTGCTCTGGGCTCTCTAAGGTGTGGCACCTGGCCCCACTCTGTACTCATGGAGTGGATGCCCCTCCTGCTCAGCAGCACATCAACACCCTCGAGGTGGACATGGCTCAAAGCACCTGCAGAAACATGCACAGAGACCCTGTGCCACCACAGTAACCTCCACCCAGAGACCATCAGCCGGCAGCCCTCGCTCCCCTCACTCTGGCGGATCCTCGGCCTTCCTGGTCGGAGGCCAGGTGGCCCGAGTGCACTAACAGGAAGAACAAGTGTCATGGCCTCCCACAGCCAGTCACCAACATATTGTTCTAGTGGATTCAAGAGGTAGCAAAAGGTCAGAAGTCTCTCCACCTTGTTCAGTGAGGAAGGAAAGCGAAATATCTGTCCACTCTCGCCGCACACCGCACCGCGCGCGTGCACACACACACACACACTCACAGAGAAGATAAACGAGAGTACCAAGGACTAGGTACCAAGTCCAGCCTACCCATGCCCACCCCCCATTAACCCCGGACCTTCCAGTTCAAACATTCACATAAACGTTACACTGGTTTTTCTCTTAATAAAAAACAAGTACCTCTAAACAAAGAATATTCCTTGGAAACTATAGGAAAAACACTCTCTCCCAAGGTGGCTGAGGCAGGGCCTGGGGCCCCAGGGAAGCCTTTGGGCAAGAAGGGCTTCTGGGGCCTGGAAGGGGTGCTCCTGGGTCTGTCCCGCCGCGGGGGAGAGGGGAGGCAGAGGAAGGGGCAGCTGCCCCTGTTACATTCCAGCTGCAGACCCAGGCTCAGCCCTGGGGGGCCAGGAGACAGGGGGGGACCCTGGAAGAAAATAAACTATTGTTTGTTTTGGTTTAAAAAAACAAAATTAACAAGAGAAAAGGAATAGCTCAGTAGGAATAATAGCAACCCAGCCCCAGAGGGCTCTTTAGTTGTAGAGGTAGGCGGGGTCACCCTGACTATCCCAAGGCCAGTGGGCAGGGCGCCCCTGGCTCCAGGAAGGGAGGGCGCCTCCCTCCAGCAGTGGCTCTCTGGGCCAGGGACATGGCCACAGCACAGATGCCACCAAGCCACAGGCAACCCCCAGTACAGAGGGAGGCCCTCCCTGCACACAGCACTCCTCCAAACCCGACACGGGAGCAGCCAGGCCACAGTGTGACCGGGGCGGGAGGGGAGGTAGACTGACTCGCTGGGCGTGGTTTCATCAGCGTCCCTTCTTTGCTTCCCTTGGTATATACTGTCCATTAAAGCTCTTGGGGGGGTCGGGCGGGGCGAGGCTGTGCCAGGAGCCCCACCAGACAACCCCCACACCTTGCTCTCTGCTTCCTTTCCAGCAGCTCCCCCCCGTGGCGAGTCTTCGGAGGGTACCCACACTGGCTCAAGGTGGGCAGGCAGGGGCAGACGGTCTTTGGCTTCTAGGAGGGGGAGGTATGCATGCGCAGGTGGCTGATGAGGTTGCGCTGCTGGGTGAACTTGCCTCCGCAGAGCTGGCACTCATAGGGCTTTTCACCCGAGTGCACGCGCATGTGCTCAGTGAGGCGGTACTGCCGGGTGAAGCGCATGCCGCACTCGTCGCAGGCGAAGGGCTTCAGGCCCAGGTGGCTGCGCATGTGGCGGGTCATGGTGCCACGCTGTGTGAACATCTTGCCACAGATGTTACAGGGGAAGGGCCGCGTCAGCCAGTGCGTCTTCTCGTGCTGCCGCAGCGTGGCCGGGTCCTTGTAGGTCTTCTCACACACAGAGCACTTGAACGGCCGGGGTTCGGCCGCGTAGGCCGCACTGGGTGCCGACAGGTCCTCAGCCTCCTCCTCAGCGCCTCCGCTGCCTGTCTCATAGGCACCCTCCTCCTTAATGAACAGCTCCTCCTCCGTGTGCGTCTCCACGTGGGCGTTGAGCTGCTCAGAGCTGGGGAAGCCCTTGGCACAGGGGATGCACACATACAGGTTGTCCCCGTACGACACTGTCTCATAGCCCTCAGGCCGGTACAGGTAGTGAGCACCGGCGGGGCCACTGCCCCCCTCACTGCCGCTCTGCCCACTGTCCTCACTCCCGTCCTTGCCATTTTCCTCCTCCTCCTTGCAGGGGTACGGGGGCTCCCCGTAAGGCCCACTCGGGCCACCCCCACTAGCCAGGACGCCATTGGGAACTCTGCCCCCGAGACCCTCGCCCTCCTCCCCCAGGCAGGCACCCTTGGGCCCTGTCTCCTTCCGTTCGGATAGGGCACAGGGCTCCTTCTTGCTCCATTCCTTCTTTCGGGACGAGTGCCGCAGGCTCTTGCGGGGCTGCCCACCGGGGCCCTCCAGCTGGCTCAGGGGGTTGTCCTCAGCCCCCTCCAGATCCATGGGCTCCTCGGGGGCGCCCCCTAGCTCGGCATAAGAGGCACTGTTGGCGATGGCGGGGGCGGGGGCTCCAGGGGGCGAGCTGTGCTGACTGTCACTCAGCTGGGCAGGGTCATCAGGCGTGAGGTGGGGGCCCGGTGTAGCGGGGGGAAGAGGAGGGCTCTTCTTGGACAAGTCCAGGCCCAGCTCCTGCTCACAGCCCCCGCTGCTCTCATTGGTGCTGCTGCTGCAGCCGCCCAGGCCAGCCTCCCCGCCAGCTGGACACAGTGCCCGGCCCAGGGTGTGCGCACCCTCCTGGTTGGAGCTGCCAAGGAAGAGCTCGTCGTCTGAGCCTTTTGCCTGGGGGAGCTCCTGGGAGGGGTGGGCCCCCTTGCGCCTGTCTCCAAGCCCTGGGTAACGGGCCTGGATGACAGAGGTGGTGGACAGGCGCTGGCTGCGGGGGGGTCGCCCCATGCCAGCGGCCCCGACCCGTGCTGAGCCAAAGGGCTTGCCTGCCCGCTTTAGCCTTCGGCGGCAGAGAGCTGCCAACTCAGGCAGCTGGAGGTAGCTGGCGGCAGTGAGGAGGGTGCTAAAGTTGGGCTCGGCTGGCTGGTCGCTGGGCAGCAGCTTGCCTGTGTAGATGAAGTCCAGGATCTGCTGGAAGACTGTGGAGCTGACCATGTCTGTGTCCAGGTTGATGAGGTTGTCATGCAGCACGAGCGACTTGAAGTAGATGCTGCTGGCGGCCAGGACATTCTTGTGGGCCCGGAAGATGGAGTTTTCCACCATGATGATGACGTCACACAGGAAGCCCTTGGTCCTCTGCTGGTTCAGCTGCAGCAGGAGCTGCTTTGAATGGCTGGGCAGCTCCATGTCGGGCCCCATGTCCCCGCGCCCTCCCCACGCGCACCACCTGTGGGCAGAGAATAGGCAAGCACAGGTTAGCTTAGCAGGACACGAGTGCAAAAGCCCTGAGGCAGGTGAGGTGTTCAGGGGGCCTCCGCAGTGACCTGACCTCAGGTCACTACATGGGACTCCAGCCCTGCCCCTAGTCATAGCACACAGGGAGGAGCTACCGCTGCCCTTGCTGTGCAGGAGCTAGGCACCTGTCACCACACCAGCACCAGCCCTGTATGCACCAATGAGAAGACGGGGCAGTGAGCAAGAATATCACACAGGCTCCAAGTGGGGAAACAGGCTGGAATCCAGCTCCAAGCCCAGGTCCTTCCTCCCACTGAAAGACATCAAGTCCAACGCCCACAGAAGCCAGCAGGAGACCAAAGCCAATAACTATAGCACACAGCCGGGGGTGGGGGGTGGGAGGTGGGTGCGGTGCTGGGAACGCAAAGGACCATCTCAGAGGAGCTGGCTATCCCCAAGTGGCATGGTGCCCCACAGGGCCCCATCTTCCCGGCTTTGTTCAAGACAAGCCAGAAACCAGATTGTTATGTGAAATCTCCCAATGGTAAAGAAAGCTTCAATTTTTTATTGTACCACAGTGTGGGCCAAACCAAGTGGGCCTGCTGGCCGACTCCACCCCCAATGGGTGACCTTGGCTCTACACTGAGGTGCCACTAGAGGCTCCCAAGCTTTAAGATCTGCCAGAAGTCATGTCACTGCCTCCCTCTGTCCCCGGGTGGGCCTGAGTGCTAACTCACCTACCCAGAGCCTCCAGGTGCTCAGTGGGAAGGCTGGCCTGGCTAAGGCCCTGGCACCACATGGGCCCTGGGTCCTTTCAATGGCAGCTGCCACTGGGGCCTGGGAAATGCAGCCAGCTGGCCTCCGCCAGACAGGCTGGCACAGACACTAATTGATATCATTAAGTAATAAACACACAAGCATCTCTAGCCTCCACAGGAAATCTTGTGAGCTGCCGGTGCAGCAGTGAGCATGTGGGTCCCAGCAACAGGGCTCTGAGTTCCATTTTCCACCCACACAGCCTGGGCAGGCAGCCCTCCACCAAAGACTGGGCACCCATAGTAGGTAGTGGAAGAGCAGCTTAGCCAGTGCACAGGGCCAGGACACCTGGGGAGGAGGGAAACGCACCCTCTAGGAAAGAGGGCAAGGCTGCGCCCAAGACGGTGCTCAAAGCCTTCCTCCCACCCTGAGCCAGCTCAGAGCTGAGGAAGCAGCACCCCCAGCTCCACTCCTGTACCCTGGCTGGAGCCACAGAGGATGGCCCAGGGAGGAGACAGGTCAGTGAGGAGGGTGCTGGGTCTAGGCTGAGGGCATGCAGTGCCCAGGCAGCTTCCATGAGCAGGAAGACGTTGGAGAAAGCAGCTTTCTGGCAGAATGCCAGGCCCTCCCTGTCTCACAGCTGCCTGACGACTGAGCAAGGCCGCTTGCAGAACATGCCCTCCATGCCACGCAGCTGACAAGGGCACCCGATCCTTCCGCTCAAGGTCCCATCTTTCTAAGTGCCTGAACCTCTCTGACCCTCGACGACACCCTGGATCTCCAGGGCCTACCCTGAACACCCAGGCCTGCCTTGCACTGGCAGAGCCCTGGGAGGGGTCATGCCCTCCAACCCTGCCCAGGACACAAACTCCCTCCCCTGCCCCACACCTGCCCTTGATTGCAGAGATAGCGGGAAACTCTAACAGTCCCAGACACAGCCAAAGGTGCACACCAGTCCTCAGAGCTAGCACAGCTGAACCAGCAGGAGGCAGTAGTGACGTGCCCTCAGGAGAGACCCTCAGCCAGCTAGCCGGGCCTGAGGCAGCTCAGGACTGTCCAGGGACCCAAGGGAAACCGGGCTTCTATTCCCAACTCCCCCACCCTGTCAGGCAAAGACAAAGAGCCCAGGGTGTGGCTCCACATGGGCACACAGGGCCCCCTCATGTTGCCCTGTGCCTGGCAGCACAGTGCTGCAGGCTGAGGTGGGCAAAGGCGCAGCAGCCAGGGCCGCCCACAGGTCCAGGATGAAGGAGTAGGAGCACACCCACCCTCCCTCATGCCCCCTTCCCAGCTGCCCCCCTCAGGCCTACCGGAGTGCCAGGGGCCCAGAAACCATGTGCGCAGCAGCCAGCGGGGGTGGCCTCCTTGAGCGCTCGGCCTCCCTGGGGGTGCATCAATGCCTGGTCACCTGGGGAGGAGAAGAGAGACACGGTCACCTAGACAGGCATCACAGGGAGGATGGCACCCCACCTGGTGGCCCTGGAGCCCTCACCTCCAGGACTCTCTGGCTGGGACACCAGGGACAAATGGGCAGATATTGGTGGCTGCAGGGCCCTGGGCTGGGGGAAATCATGTCAAGGAGGCTGGGCAGGCCCTGCCTTCACCTTCCTCTCCCTATACACGAGATTTGGGATACCCTGGGGCCCCCCAGGCCTGGGGAGCTGATGGCAGGCTTGGTGACAGGAGATCCGGGCAGGGCCCTCCCAGCCAGCCACATTTACATAACAAAAGGTCAAAACTGGGGCCACTTGTGCAAAGGGTTATTTATAAGAATCAGTCTCACCCACCTCTGGCCCCCAGCGCCCCTCCCTTCCTGGAGCTGCTTGGCACCCCCTCCCCAGCTCTGCTGGGCCACATGGCCTTCCTATCAGGAAGGTTTGCTGCCTCCAGTCTTGCACCAACCACCAAGGCCACTGGCAGCTGCGGCCAGAGGAAGGCCCCTCGCCCCCCAGAGCTTTGGCTAAGGTTCTGGTTCCTCTCACCTCATACAAGCCAGGCTGGGCTCCTTGGGCCGGCAAGCAGAGGAGGTGGCCTAAGCAGGCCTGGAGCCCATCCCTGCCTTCCCTTCCCCCACCCCACCCGCAGGGCCAGGGAGGCCCAGCATGTCCCTCTGGAATGTGACCAGACCCAGGGTGCCGGCCAGCCCGTGGCTGGAAGGCCTCAGTCTGGCCTGCCAGCTGTATCCTGGCTGCAGTGCTAGCTGTGCTCTCAGAGGGGGTGACCAAGGGAGGTGCACCCAAGGACCCACCAACAGCTAGGAGGCCGCAGAACCAGCTCTGTAGGCCCAGCACCTGAGCATCCATGTTTAATGGGGCAGGGCGCAGGCCCCTCACCAAGAGGGCTAAAGCCTATTCACAGAGCCCAGGCCCCTCACCCAAGAGGGCTAAAGCCTATTCACAGAGCCCAGGCCCCCCAACCCAGTGAGGCCAGAGCCAGTCAGAAGGACAGAGGCGTGTGCAGTCAAAAAGCAGAGCAAAGCCCGGCCTGGGAAGAGGGGCAGAGGCTGGGGCACGGATAAGACACCACAGCAATACCTTCAAGTCAACCTGCCCCCAGCTCCCCTAAGGCCCTCAGTCAACACACACCTCCTCAGGCAGAGCATCCGCCCGTGCCTCTCAGGGGCCCTGCCTTGAGCTTGGGCCAGACTCTGAACCAGGCATGACCCCGCATCAGATCAGTGTGGGGGGAGTGCCTGCGTGGGCGTGCTCTTCCAGCCCTGCCCGGCAGTCACCAGATCCAGGTGAGGCAAGGACTGGACCAGATCTCCCAGCAGGAAGGGACGGAGCCTGCGGCAGGTCCCCCAGGCTGAGGTGGACGTAACAGTCTCCTTCTCGGATGACCTCTCTGCTGAGCTGGCAGGGCAGGCTTGGCCTCCAGGCGCCATCCACTGGGCAGGGCATGTAGAGTTGCCTGATGGGAGTTCACAGAAAGCAGTGATGCTACCCAGCCTGCAGGCCACTCCCAGGCTAGGCCCAGTTAGCCTACCACCATGTCTGCAACTGAGGGCTCACCCTCACCCCATGCGTGGACCCCCTCCCGCTGTCAGGGCCAGGATCCCCAAGAAGCATTGCTCTTCTCTGCTGGGTGTGGGACCTGCGGGCGCCTGCCCGAGAGACCGTGGTCTGGGCCAATGCCAGGCAACTAGAAGCATAGCCAGGGGCTAGCTCAGGAAGTTGGCAGCTGAATGCCCCACTGGGTACAGGGGCTAGTGCCCAGCCTTGGCAGAAGCCACCTGTGGGCTGAAACAAGGACGCTGCCTGGCACCGGCTCCAGGCACCCAGAAGCCCCTGGCAGCAGGCCCAGGCCGTGTGCTTATCAGCGTCAATGATCACAGGCCCACCCAGGACCGCTGCCACTGGCATGCTGTCTCTGCAATGCCCAGGATCCAAGGCAGTGGGACAGCTGGTCTAGGCTATCCCAGCCAGCCGGGAACATCACTAAGGCAGAGATCTGGCCTCTCCAGAGGACAGAACCTTCAGGAAGGGTGGCACAGACATTGTCCCCTGTTGGGAGCCCTGGCTCCCAGCTTTCCAGGGGGCAGGAAAGGACTAGAGCACCTCTGTGAGGGTCCGCTCCACCTTCTGAACACAGGATGGATGGAGAAGGGAAAAGGGAAAAACACTTGGTTTCCAGGTCCTGTGCCAGACATACCACCTTGCTTATAGTATGTCAACACCCTCCCACCCACCCCACAGGCTGCTACAACCAAGAACTGGGGCAGGTCCTCAGTAACTTAAATTCTGCTTTCCTTTTCGTCCCCACCCGCTTCCCCACACTGAAGGGGCTGGACCAGAACAGGGGCACCCTGCCATCTTCCAGCCACTGTGGTGACACACTCACAGGTAGGGTAGGCCTTGCATGGCCTGGCGGGAGCCACTGAAGCCTCCCTCTGTGGCTCCATCCAGGCCCACCGTCCACTACCCCAGAGGGTCCGCCAGGCAAGTTCTTCCGGGGAAAGAGATGTCCTGGGACATGTATAGCCACTGTTAAATAAGGTCATCTCAGGGGTGGGTGGGGGTTAAAATTACAGGAAAACTGTAGTTTCCATATGTTCATTCCAGTGGTATCTGAGTTTATAATAAGCATGAATTACTTTTATAATCCTGAAAACAACAGCAGAATTTATGTGCACAAATCTCAAGAACATGCTGAGTAAAGGAAACCTTCACAAGTGAACACACTGCATGACTCCGCTGAGGTGAAGTTCTAGAACAGGCAACAGGGAGCAATGGTGGGGAAACTCACAAGAGGGTGAGGTAAGGACAGCATGGGAGAGGGCATGTGGGGACTGTCTGAGACAACACTGGTATCTTGACAGGAATATGGGTTAAGGTGGAGGCTTTGGTCAGAACTTATCAAGGGATGCACTTAAGACTGGGGCAACTCATTGCATGTAAATGATACCTCAAAAAAAAAAAATTAAACAAACAAAAAAAGAACAGAGGTTTTTATAGGATGTTCCCATCTCAGCAACATAGCATAATCCCTCCTCGTTCCCCCAAAACACCTCCAGCTAACATTTACTGCACACTTACTGTATGCCCTGGGTGGTACAAATGGTGAAAGGTTGGTGGTTTGAGACCACCCAGAGGTGCCCTGAAGAAAGGCCTAGCAACCTACTTACAAAAAACCAGTCACTGAAAACCCCGTGGAACAGAGTTCTACTCTGACACACATGGGGTTGCCATGAGTCGGAGCTGACTCAATGGCAGCTGGTTTTTTCACTGTATGCCAGGCCTAGCACCCCAGGCCCCACACTTCAGAACACTGTCATTTAACCCTCGTGGTCACCCAGAGAGCCCAGTTACTCTGCCAATCTCCATGTGACAGGCAGGGCAGAAAGTGACATTTCGAGAGGTGCGGCCTAGGGGTCTCTCAGTCTGTGCATACCACAGCAGTGCCTTTATCCCAACACATCCCCAGAGGGCAGGATGACCTAATGCGGTGTGCAGACAGTGTGGAGGGTGGGAAGGGCTCAGAATTAGGACCCAGAAGCAAGTGTGTTGTCTGTGGCCATGGGCACACAGCACCCAGCTCCCCACTGATAGCCTTCAGCCCACCCAGGTGTGTAGTTCAGCCTCAGTTTCCCAACCTGGAAGTAGGCCACGGGGGCAGAAGCTTCTGTAGACAGCAAGTCCCTGTTGCTCCCGCTCCTCCCTGGCTGGGACACCCTCTGTAGTCTCCAGCAGGCAGTCAAGGCCCAGGCCAATCTTCAGGGCCCCTTCCTGTGTGACCTTGACCCGTCTTCCAAACATGCACCAGCCAGCCAGCAGGCCATCAGGACACGGTGGGCAGGGCCACAAGGGCTGGCCCTGGGCTTCCCCAGTCAGCCCATATGGCCTCAAGGCCCCACAACGTAGCTGGAACAGGGCTAACTCAAGGCCCCTATTCCGAGCAGCCCACAGAGGGCAGGAGAGCACTCTGGCCCAGCACCCCTCAGAGGCCGCGAGAGAGAGGTGGAAGTGACCCTTGCCTATGCAGCAAGCAGAGCACAAAGGAGAATGATTCCAACCCCCCAATTCTGACCACAGTGCCCCAAATTGGCCTGGACTCCTGCTCTGCCCAGAGCCTGCGCCTTAGGAGGCTAGGCACTCAAAACACACCCCCTAAACAGGACCCTCCAGGAGCCAGGGGGCATGGTCCTGACCCTCATGATCAGCGCCCCCAAGAGGGCTGCCCTTTCTACTCAGTTGCGGACCTCTGGGTAGGGTGAGAATGAGGCCCTCCTTGGGCAACCTCAGCACCCACCTGAAACCCTGACCTGACATCAGAGCAGGCGGCTTTCCTCGCTCCTATGCAGCTGGGTAGAGGGACCCGAAGGGAAGGACGGAGCTCCGGTAAGGGGTAGGCCTCCCACCCACAACTCCTGGGGCCTTCTTACCCGCCCATGGCCATCCCTCACTTAACAGGGAAGATGGTCCTCCTGCTCAGTCCCAAGAGATAACTCCTTTCACCTTTGCCATCTCCCGGCCAAGGAATTCCTGCTACAAGTAACAGACTGAAATAGGACCCCCAGCTGGCACCGTACTGCCTGCACAGAGCTCCACTGCCAGGTGGGAGGGACAGCCATGCCAGGTAGGGCAGCAGTGCAGGGCTGGGGGTCAGCACCAGACAGTTCCACATGCAGGGGTTTAGGTATATCTGACCAGGGCCCAAGAGTGCTGCTGTCCACAGCCCGACCACCACGATGGTCACTGCTGCTCCAGGTGCAGCCCTAACAGGTAGGGCTACAAGGTTGGGGCTGCAAGTGGTGGCCATGCACAAGCAGTGCCTACACCCAGGTCCTGCAGACAGGTGGACAGGGCCACAGGAAGGGGCCCAAGGGCAGAAGGGGACTGACCTGGAAGGTACAGAGCAGCTGGGACATCCAGGCAGAGGAAAGCCCAAGATTCAGGGAGCCCCAAGCCCAGCACCCTAGACCCACCAGAGTCCTACTCCTCC